TCAGCTGCTTGTCATTGCCACGCGCCTTAAGGGAGAGGGACCAAGGGCGCATCCTTTATTTCTGGCGTATACTTAGGCCCCAAATCCTTACCTGATGTCTTGCCTGAGGCCCTGGGATGGGTCATATGTGAACTGTAAGGACTCATTTTTTTTCCCTCTAATCCAAGACTAGGGTCGTATCTCTGTGGCCTCTTCCACCTTTATATATATGAGTCTATGTCCAGTTCTACTCTCATCCTTTCTTTAGTGAGGATGCACATAAAATTATGAACTCAAAATAAAAAGAACGCTGGCCAATTTCAGGCCCATGTCATCTCTTCCCATCTCCGAGCTCACTACCCAGAGTGGAGATCTAATTGTCCCAAGACTCCGTGATTTCAGAACTCTTCCTCTTGGAAGTGGCTGAAGGATGAGATGATTGGGGAAGCCACCTGGAAAGAAGCAGGAGGCTTTGGGCTACTTGTAGAGGCAAGAGGCAGTCACTATTATTATGTTAGTGTGGAGACTCAACATCAGTGGATGTGATGAAGAGCAGGGCATCCATCACCATGGAAATAATGGGATACAGGGAGAGGATGCCTGTGAAGATGAGGCTAAGGTTAGAGACCTGTGGACAGGACACAGAACAGTTGCTTCATTTCCATCAGCTTCCAAGACTAATTGTAGACTAGTACCAGACATACCCACTGATTGGAGTGGGGCTTCTGGCTTGCTGACTGGCTTGGTTAGGGCTGACTTGGGGCCACAGTGGGTCTGGAATGATAATGAAAAGAGTTTGGTTCCTGTCAGATGAGAGGTTGGGACAAGACAGGGGGATCAAAGAGTCATTCATAAGATGCTACAGGATTGATCTTTCTTGACCATGGAGACCCACATTAGTCCTCTTTGAGCTTTACTGTTCAGGCAGGATTGGGAAAAGAAATTCATCTGTAGCAATTCTGCAATGCCATCTCTGATAGACCTGGGAGACGGTCATATTTTCACACAGCAGCAGGAAATTTTCAGGTGACCTGCTTATGTCTTTGGTGAGTTGTCACCCAGCTATTGTGATATACTGTTTGAACATATTGGTTTCCTGGCTAGATTTATGGCATTTAATACACTTAAAATATGGACAAATCAGTTCAGCACTGGCTCAAACAAACAGAAGAGGTGCCAGAACCAGTTGGATGGATGCCACACCCAATCAGAAGGGATGCCACGACCCATCAAAACTGATAGCATCACACCTGTGCAGACCAGCTGAGGGGCAGCCCAGTTCCCAGGAGAGCTTGGAATAATGAATTCCAACAGGAGCCTTCTACGAGTGAGAATTTCAGAAAGTATGAGTGGCTTGTGGAGTTTGCGGTTCTTTGGATTCTTGCAAGAGGTGCCTCGAGGCAAGGCTGGTCTTCTTAGCACATTGCATGGCAAACGCAGTGAAACTTCTCTGTGAGGGTAAAGCGGCAGCCAGAGCTTGGCCACGGGCCACCTCTCTTTTGTTGAGAACTTTCAAGAAAGCATGTGTGGGGGTGGAGGCAGAAAGACAGATGCTAAGTTTAGCTTGAATTCCATTGAGTCGGCTCGGAGGCTGATATACAACACTCAGACACATGTGCCAGTGCTCACGTGTGGGCGCTCACAAGGCGCTCCATGCTGGCTGGGCCTGTTGGGGTTCAGGGGAGCCGGGTCCAGGCAGAGCCAGCAGCTGGCAAAGGCATTGTTCATTGTATTGTGAGTGACATGCAATCCACCGCTTGCCAGCCAGTCTACATAGCTGTGGCGATGTGAGAGGCTAGCTTTAGATCACGCATTCCACTGCTGTGCATGGATTAATATGGCTTTGAAAGGGCTTTTCTTTCTTTCTTTCAAATTTAATATGAGAGTATATGAGGAAGAACATGGTGGCAATTAGCTGCTGCCATGAATTTTATGAGCAGTTTGCAAGAAACCACATTAATGACTCCACGGGTAGTGCTGAGATCAATTTTGCTATGTTATTTTTTCTCTTTTCCCCCCTTTCCCTCTTTAAAGGCCAGCCCAAAGCTCCAGGATGGTATCAGGTGGGTGGTCCTAACGGTGAAGTTTCTCTCTTCCAAGACAGGTATCCTGGCTCATCCCAACCTTGGATCCTACACAGAATATGCCAGGTGGGTCTAGCCTTGTTCTGGAACCTGGAGCAACCGTAAGGATGGGAAATAGCCTGGCCGTGGTTCTGACAGGTGGAGAAAAATCTTTGCAAGAGGTGTCCACAGTGAAGTTGCTACCAAAGAGAAATCAAACACCCTGCATGTTTCTCACTTTTAGCAAAGGAAATTAGAATAAAACATGGGCATTAGCTCGGGAAAAAAAAATGGAAGCGAACAGTCTTTATAAATTCTCAGCGAGCGTGGCGATGGTTTAAAACTATTTAACCTGAAGCCAAGGGAAGGTTGCTGTTGGATAAAGAGATTGGATGCAGGAAGCCAGCCTCCACACAGCTTTGTGGGAATGTGCTCTGAAGCCAACTGAGGTCTGCGTTCAAAACGGATCCGGAATCTTGAAAGAAACAAAAATAGGTTTGTTGCCAAGTCACAAACCTTGATCTAGTCATGAAAGGAGGACCTGTAAACACAAAACAAGTGAGATGATATAGTCCAAACCATTGTCGTAAATCAGTGGGCAGCAGAAGTCAATTAAAAAAAAAAATCCAACAGCAACAATAAAAATAACAAAAAGCAAGAAATGCTTTCTTTGATATGCTTGAGGTAAAATCGATATGAAAGCGGTAAGAACAGAGCTTTGACTTCTGCTCCTTTTCTAGGACAGGAAAAGTTCACAATGGAGAACTCTGGAAAAAGCAGAGCCAAGGTGGAAAAACCAAGGTATCTTCCATGATTAAGAAGAGACAGATATATGTCTAGCAGTGGATTGCAGGACATATATTGCAGGTAGTTCTATTTTTTAGTTTTCTGAAAGGCCTCCATACTGGTTTCCACAGTGACTGAACCAATTTGCATTCCCACCAACAGTGTAGAAGGGTTTCCTTTTTCCATCTGGAAAAAACTATAATTCAAAAAGATAGATGTACCCCAGTGCTCATAGCAGCACTATTTACAGTAGCCAAGACACGGAAGCAACCTAAATGTTCATGGACAGATGAATATACAAAAAAGATGTGGTAGGTATATACAATGGAATATTACTCAGTCATAAAAAAGAATGGAATAATGCCATTTGCAGCAACATAGATGGACCTAGATATTATCACACTAAGTGAAGTAAACCAGAAAAAGACAAACACCATATGATATCACCTATATGTGGAATCTAAAATATGACACAGTGAACTTATCTGTGAAACAGAAACAGAATCCCACACATAGAGAACAGATTGGTGGTTGCCAAGGAGGAGGGGTTTGGGGAACGGATGGAGTGTGAGTTTGGGGTTAGCAGATGTAAGCTTTTATATATAGAATGGATAAACAGCAAGGTCCTACAGTATAGCAGAGAACTATATTTATATCCTATGATAAACCATAATAGAAAAGAACATAAAAGAGTGTGTGTATATATATAAATGTATCACTTTGCTATACAGCAATAAATAACACAGCATTGTAAATCAACTATACTTCTATAAAAAAATAAAGAAGAGGGGCCACCTATGGGTGGGAGAGGGGATTACAGCTACCTCTGGGGAACAAGAGCACGCACATGGTTTCACATCTGCTGAGCTGAGAATTGTGGCTTAATGTCCAGGAAGCCTTCTGGCTTTTGACTCAAGCAGAGATTCAGGATGACCATAAAGGAAGATCTGATTCACACATTTTTTTTCCCCTTAAATATACAAAATGATAGTGGTTTGTTCATGTTTCTTCATCTCAACTGGTTTCGTGAAGCAACGTCTTTGACTGATAGGAAGTAGAAAAGCCACGATGTTACATCTACAGGGGCTTGCATCTCTAACTCAGTCAAAAGCTGGGCACATCTGATTCTCAGCAGTTTGCTAGGATGGTGGAAACAATACAATCAAATATCATCTGCTACAAACATGATTAAATGGTCTGCTTCCTGACATTTATTGATGAAAACATTGTATTTTAGCTCAGACATGAGTATTTCAATAGTAGAGAACTAGACTGTTAGTAAACTTGACTCATTGAAAACATTCCAGTTTAAAGATTTTTTTAAATTTGGATTCAGCTTTTTTTTTTTTTAGAATGGGCCATCTTATAAAGCTTCTGAAGCCTTAGCTGAATATTGTCAGGTTTGAAAGAGGTGATAACAAACGTGTGTGAAGGAGGTAAAATAGCATCATTGGGTTTAAAACAAAGTGTTATTTCAATGTAAATGTAACTTAAAATGCAAACAATGGTGAAATAGCTCTCAGCCTCCTCTCTAAAATAAGGCAAATCCAACACAAGGTCACTGTTAATAGAAGAAATAACTTGTGCTGGGTGTGTGAGTTCTGACTGTGTTTTGTTTTTTAAACTGTGCATGTATGTTATGTAAACTCTTTTTACTATTTTTCACAACAGAAGAGTTTGCAAAATTAACTCATTGGCACTGTGAATTAACTTTCCTCCTATATACATGCATGCACACACGAACGTGTTTATAATGAGACAAATTCTCACAAAATGTCTAGCCTGGGCCTTGATGATTTGAGTGACACAGAGAGTCAGGAAAATAATAAGAAACCAGCATGAAGAGGAAACTCTGAAGGCAGTGGCATCCATCGCGTAACCTGGAGAAGACAAAGACCCGGTTGATTTAGTAATGGTCTCCTAGTTTATGGGTTTTTATGCAGAAGATGGTGTCCAGCTGTTTTTCATTTCTAGTGAAGACAGGGGAAAAAAAAAAAAAAACCTGGAGGGGCTGGAATTGCATCAGGGGAGATTAGGGCTGGAGATGGAGGAGCAGGTCCTGGTTGAAGGGTTGTAAGACATTGGAACGAATAACCGGGGGAGATTATGAAATCCCCATCTTTCGAATTCTTAAATGAATGTGATCGGCGTGCATCAGCGTGGTGGATTGGTTTAGTTATCTGCCCGGGACGGCTGAGCCGAGGGCCTTCTGTGGGCCAAGTCCCCCTGGGGCGCCCCGACTCCGCTGTCTTGAGTGAATTGCATGTGGCAGCGAACCCAGTGCGTGGAGCCAGAGCCTGCTGCCTCGTGGCGAAGCTGCTGGTCTGTGTGCCGAGTAAGCCGACACTTCGCGATCCTTTCGACTCGAATGGCTCCAGAGTCATTTAGGACCGTTCTGACTGCCAACTGCCACCTTGAAATAGGAAAAGTATTTTAAACAAACCCGCCAGGACGTGCAGGCGGAGGGGTGTATTTGCCATGCTTAGAATACACGGTCACCGGACACCTCGCAGAGGCAACTGTAAGCTATTAGCGCAGCAGGAAACCCCGTGGAAATGAGATGTGGAAAGCCGGGAAGATTTGGATATTAACTTATCTTTCTTTCTCTTTTTAATACTTTTTTTTTTTTAACATAGAAGCTAAATGTTCTTGATGACCAGATCTCTCTTTCTCTCTTTCATTTTCTTTTCTTGAGTTCTTTCAAGATTTTTTTTTAAACTTAAAAACAAAGTATTTAAAGTATGACAATTAGGTTTCATGGATGCCAAGAGGCGAACCCAGAGAATTTGAAGGAGGCAATTACATTTTTTTGTTGTTGTTTAAAAAATAAAAGCTCAGAGCTTTGCTTTACTTATAAAAGGATACTTTTACTCGTGTCTGTTTTAAATATATTTCTTTAGGTGATGAAACACCCCCGGGAACTGAGCTGTATGTGACGAGATTTGTGTGGAAAGGAGGATTTTTGAAACTTTTTTTCATCTTCCCGAAGCAGCCCAGCCTCTTACTTCAAAAGAGCTGAGCAGAACTCCTACCTAAGGGACCGCTTGCCTCCCGCAGCGGGCTCGGTTTCCATACCATGGTTTTTATGGAAATGTCCTCTTTCCATAGGCTACCTCCGCGTCACGCCTCATTAAGAGTGATGATTATGACCTCCTCTGGACGTTCGGATGCTGCTAAGAATCGGGAGGATATTTTGAGCCCTGGAATTCGGGCTCTGCCACATGTTTGGATTAACAACCAGTTAAACCTTGCTAAGGCAATATTTTTCTATGCAGTTAGTTTTTATACCAAACAAGGTTTGTAGTAATTGGATGCCCTACTTGAGCAAAACTGTTTACCAGAAAATAAATCACTCCTGGCATTAAGAAAACACCAGCCCAGGGATTCGCCAGCCCAGCCTCATCCCGTTCATTTCTCATAAACCTAAGCCCCAGACGTGTGCGTTCTCATCTAGGATGACTTATGCTTTGAATTGTGGTCTCTTTATTTCCATGCCCATTATAATGCTTACCTAAACATTTCCCTCTGTTTAGCTGCGGTGCTTCTGGTAATGACTTCTATTTGGCTGCCGGGAAGCATTTGCCAGGCCTTAGAAGCCCTATGGAAAAAGAGAGAGGGGGAGAGGAAGAAAGAGGGAGAGAGGGAAGGAGGAAGGAAGGAGGGAAGGGGGTGGGAGGCAGAGGGAGAAAGAAAGAGAGAGATGGATTGAGGAAGGAGGGGGAGAAAGGGAAGGAGCAAGGGCAGAAGAGAGGAACACTTTTTTTCCTAAGTGGCCATAGAATTATAGAGAATTAGACCCTGAAGCAATTTCCAGTTGAATTCATCTCTGTAATGGACGCCTGAGTGGCTCTTGTACCATAGGAAGCAGAAATGTGGGATGCAGGAGACATAAGAGACACGGGTTTGATCCCTGGGTCAGGAAGATCCCCTGGAGGAGAGCATGGCAACCCACCCCAGTGTTCTTGCCTGGAGAATCCCATGGACAGAGGAACCTGACGGGCTACAGTCCCTGGGTTCACAACTCCTGTTGACCTTTGCCCTGCGCTGAAATTTCTTCTGTCCTCTGGTAGTTTCCTTTTCCGTTGGAAATCCTGTGTTCCTAAATCAGAGGTCAGGAAAGCAAGATTTGATGGGTCAGGTGCTCCTGGAAAGAAGTACCTGGACTCAACTGAAATTGCCAGTCTTTCCATCATGGTAAGCAAGAGAGAGTCAGTGGGTTTCCGGGGGCAGTCACACGCTGATGATAGGTGGCTGGACCTTCTACGAACGGTCCTGTCCAAATTCTGGCAGTCAGTTTACACCAGTCAAAGCCATGTTGGAAGGAGCTGTTAGTTATGCAAATATCAAAGCAAAACAGGAAAATGATCCAAACATAGGAGTTTGTCAGATTTTGAGGACTTTGTTGAACTTCTTACAAAAAATGTGAGAACATTCATCCCTGAATGAATGATTCATTTATTCTACTGACCTCAAGTCAGAGCTAGTAGCCCTAATCATTTGGAATAAATCTAGTTGGTTTTCTATGACTCAGAAGGCCTGATCCTAGTCAATTCTGTTCATAAACTATAAATGCTCTAGAGGGGAAAAAGCACCTCAAAAATAATCGGAAAGATTTTGAATGAGTTCCTCATCATTGCTTCAATCTGACTTTTGCATATTGGAATCTTTTCGGAGCCTTGGTGTATTTTTGATGACACGGGCAAACTCCTGGGTTTTGAGAATCCAAAAATGAGTTGGTGAGCATGAGAAGATTTGGTCATTAATGAAGTAAACATTTTTTTTTTTCTCTCTTCCAAGTAGACTTTTTCCTTTGCTTTAACTGGGTACTGTCATTTGTCAGAGAGACTGGGGTCATAAATGTAACTTCAAGGGAGTTCCCCGGGTTCACTTGCTTTAATGATGAAACCATTCAGATGGAACACACTGAACTTGGATTCTAACATGGAAACCACTTCTTTTTTAGGCCTAATTTGCATGGGCTAGAAATATCTTGAGAGCTGGGGCAAGATTTTTGATCAGACCACATGAAATAACATTTTTCTTTGCAAGTTTAGGTAATAAATACAGTGGCTGGAAGAACCCATACATGAGTGAAGGCCTGAATGAATCATTTCGGAGCACAATATGATTTGGATATTCCTATGCACATGACCATCCAGTGGTGATTACCAGGTCCTTGTCGTGTGTAACACAGAGTGAGAGGCACAGAATGGGACATACAGATGCACATACTGGCAGATGGTTTCTGTCCCCAGGGAGCTTACACTCTGCACAGGACAGAACCATGATTCTCAACCTGTCTTGGTGAAATCGTGGATCAGGTCAGTTGGGGGGCCACCATCATCCCCAGGGGTCCTCCATCACTCATAAGAGGCCTAGCTTCCTCTGTCTTCTCCTTCCAGGATTTCACTCTACCACCTACCCTTTCTACCCACTTTGCACGTCAAGACACTTGACTGGAGGACCAGTGCTGATAAGCGGGATTCATCTATTTGACACTTCCTGAATATTATTAGGGGAAACTCGGCAGCAGCATATAAGATTGCAGTTTTTGGACATCAGAAACTGTCAGCTATCAGTAAGTTTATATGATTCAATCAAATATTTAGCACATTTGTATGAAGTGGGTAATCCATGAGGTTTGGAAGTCTGTTTTTTTAGAACCCTCCCTCAGCCAGACAGTCCCAGTATCAGAGGTTGAGGGTTTGGGGTGGACTGTGCTTCTGAGAGGGGCTTCCCAGGTGGCCCTGACGGTAAAGAACCTGCCTACCAATGCAGGAGACATAAGAGACTCAGGTTCGATCCCTGGGTCAGGAAGATCCCCTGGAGGAGGGCATGGCAACCCACTCCAGTATTCTTGCCTGGAGAATCCCATGACAGAAGAGCCTGGTAGGCTACAGTCCCTGGGTTCACAAAGAGTCAGACACCATTGAAGCAACTTAGCACGCACACACATGCTTCTGAGAGGGGAGAGTTAATGAGGTTTTTTTCATTCTAGCTGAGGGACCCTGAACTGGAAGGATGCTTTTGGTATGAGGAGTACTTTGAGAAATCTTGTTTGCTTGCCAAAATAATCTGATTCAGATAATATATCATAAAAATTTCAAAGTAAATACAGTTATATGAAAAGGTATGAGAACTCAGAATGAGGTGACTTAGTGAGGCCCTATTTTTCCTGTAATCTCTCCTGTTTCACTCACAGTGTTGGCTTGAAAACCTACTGATTTCATCTGGATTTTAAAACATCCAATTGAAAAATAACTCAGATAACACAAGATTATGTTGATATTAACCACCCCTCCAAAAAATTTAAAAAAAAAAATGAAGAGGAAGAATAGGGGTAGGAGGAGAAGGAAAAGAAGAAAAGAAAAAAAAAATTAAACCTTTACAAATACAGCCTAGAGAGAGCTGTTTTTAATGTTTTGGTGAAGATGCTTCTAGACTTTTTCCCAAACAGGTAATACTTTGAAAATGCAAATATTCTAGGGAGGTGAAGTGAAAACTATTAATCACTTCTAATTTACAGGGGATTAATGATAGTGAAAGGGCTTCACTAGTGGCTCAGATGGTGAAGAGTCCGTCTGCAATGCAGAAGACCCAGGTTCGATCCCTGGTTTGGGAAGATTCCCTGGAGGAGGACATGGCAACCCACTCCTGTAATTCTTGCCTGGAAAATCCTATGGACAGAGGAGAATGGTGGGCTACAGTCCATGGGGTCATAAAGAATTGGACACCATTGATCGACTATCACTCACTCACTCAATGATAGCAAATGCTTTCAGAACTGAAAGTGACTTGGAAAATATTTTAGAGCAGTCTTCAACCTGGGGTGATTTCACTCCCCAGGGGAGTGTCTGAAAACATGTCTGGTTACAACTTTGGGCTTCTCCTGACATCTAGAGAGCAGATGCCAAGGATGCCTCTAACCATCCTATTAATATGAGACACAGGATAGACCTTAACAACAAAGAATAATCAGGCCCAGAAATCAATAGTGTCAGTAGATGAGAAAGTCTGTTTTTGACCAGTTACCCTATTTTCAGACTAACTGTCCGGAGTTTCAAAATCATTTACACCAAGTCACTCAACCAACAGCAGGAGTGGGATGTGAGCCCTTGATTCTTGATTTTGAGTCCAGGGCTTTTTTCACTGCACTGGAATGAAAAACTTTTCTCTGAATACCTTGTGGAAATCAGCGGTGTGAGCTGAGAAAATGGAAATTTTGATAGCCAGTGGGGGGCTCAGGACAGTGTGAGGGGTTAATTCTAAAGAAGAGGAAAGAGAAACAGATCCAGTTAGTGAGAGGTGAGAGCCTGCAAACAGGAGAAATGGAGTGGCACAGAGAAGTGGAGAGCCCAGAGCGTGTGATGGAAACCAGTTCTAGAAGAACAGAAAGAGCAATGGGGATCCCAAACATTGCTTGCTTAGCAAATGAGTATGGATACTTTTAGGGTGACTCACTTGTCCCTGTTGGCTTGGGGCTGTCCTGATTTTAAATCTAAAGATCCCATATTCTGGGAAACCCCCCTCCACCCACATACTGGGCAAGCCAGGAAGGCCAGTCACTCTATTTCCCATTCCCTCATGTAAAAAGGCCTGATAAAAGTGATTCTGACAAATTGCATATTAGTTTGGTGAATTGGAGAAATTTGGTGAAGAGTATCTGGGGCCCTCTCTGTACGTTTTTTTTGCAATTTCCTATGACCATACAAGTATTTCAAAATACAAAGCTAAAAATAGATTATTACATGGGATATGAATGAATAAATAACCTCTCCACTGAAACTTCAAGGCAGCGTCATGGGGCCAGATGGAACACCCGGAGTAGAAAGTTCTTTCTGAGTGTCTGAATGGTGCCAGACCACCACTGTGGGCAACAACTTCCTGAGGTACTTGAGAAGGGCGGTGAAGGCATTGTCACTTCGTCTTGGAATAGTCAGTCTAAATCTTGTGATGGCAAATAGTGCCATCTGCAGAATAAGCAAAGGAGAATGGTTTATACAAGAGAAAAATTGCAGGAGAAGTTTCCATTGAGGGAGTTGTTCATTCATTCATTCATCCTGGTACCAAAACCTCTGCTAAGTGATAAAAATTGAATTGGGAGTGCTCTTCTCATCCCTCCAAAGGGTTTTGGTTTGGGGTTCAAAAGAAAGGCATTGAACAAAAAGGTCCCTTGTTAACTTTAATACTGTAAATTTTGCTTTTTTCATAAGAAGAAGGGAACACCTGTTGAATACCCTCTATGTTCAACCCATTGCTTGTCTTCAAGCACATAAAACAATTGCACTTTACAGGGGCCCCTTGGGGTTTTCAGTGTATAGATATCTTTAAAAACATGTTTTAATTTAATGGTACTTTCATTTTTAAAAGGGGAACACCCACAAATTGAAACATATCTAGTGAAGTCTCTTTCATGGGCTTGAAAGCCTGAGCATGGGGCTGAAATGTTTTACCCAAAGACTTCTCAATTCACTTTCAATTTTTTAGCCTTTTGGGTTAAATCCTGGAGAAATTCCATCTAATTTTCTTTTCTTTTAATTAATTTTATTTCTTGGCTGTACTGAGCAGCATGTAGGCTTTTAGTTCCCTAACCAGGGATTGAACCCACACCTCCTGCATTGTAAGTGCAGAATTCTAACCACTAGACTGCCAGGGAAGTCCAGTTGTGTCTAATTTTCCACTGGTTGAAAGTCATATGCTCTTATGCATAATCAGGGAAGGTACTATTTTACAGGGTTTGATTTTAGCTTTGCTCCTGACTCTTAGAAGTGTCCTGTCCTATTTTCTTGAGAACTATAATTACATTCTCAGGGTTAGAGGGCCTTTCATTTTCCTGTTCCAGGTCATCCTTTCTGAGAGCAAGAACTCTTGAGATGCATTCTTTCTTAGCTTCAAATGAATACTACTGTGTGTGCATACTGTGCTCAGTCACGCCTGACTCTTTGCAACCCCATGGACTGTAGCCCGCCAGGCTCCTCTGTCCATGGGATTTTTTTAGGCAAGAATGCTGGTGTGGGTTGCCATTTCCTCCTCCAGAGGATCTTCCTGACCCAGGGATTGAAGCTGTGTCTTTCACATCTCCTGTATTGGCAGGCAGATTCTTTACTACTAAGCCACCTGGGAAGCCCCAGATGCTACTGTACAGTTTACCAACAGCAGAAGGGAACTGCAGCAGGCACTAGGCCGTAGCAAGTGGCTCAGGGGAGAAAGAGAGCCAGGAAGCAGGTGGTAATAGGGGTGGAAAGGAGGAAGGAAAGCATAAATGTGCTAAAACCAGAAGTGGAAGGAGAAAAGTTAAGCCTTGACCTCTTCATTATGAAATGTGGTGGTCAGGAAGTCAGAGCTGCCACCTTGTTTTTAGGGGGACCCCACGCTCTGGCATTTTGTCTTTAGTCTTTAGCAAAGAGGATAGAACCAGAAGAACAACTGTCGGTAGGCAGGGAGAGCTTTCCAAGAAAAACCTGCTCCCAGCCCCAATTCCAGAGATCCTGAGACTGCTGGTCTCGAATAGGATATAAGAATTGATATATATCCTTGGAGCTCCCCAGGTGAAAGCCATCATTGAGAACCAGTAGCATGACCTTCCCTCATTTTTGAGGCTGGAGAAATCAAGTCCCAGAGATGTTAAGTAACTGCTTGAGGTCCACACAACTAGACCCAGAAGTGGATCTTGCACTCAGGTCTTCGGCACCCCATGGAACAATTTTTCTAATAATGTAAATTGGATCCTCCACATACCAAGGACAAGGAGAGGCAGGATACACATGTCAGAGAAGTACTTCTTTCCCTAATTGACATCCATTTTTAAAAACACCTGGCAGGTAGCAGCACGAAATACACATTTGCGGAATGAAGGAGAGATGTTTAATTCCACCCCCACCCCACCTCCAGCAGAACCATTACAATAACATGTTCAAAGGCGCTAAAGCCAAATGGAAATGATTTTCACATTCAGTGCCTTTCTTCCTGACCACTGGTTACCTTTTTGTGACTCAACCTAGGAGCCTAGGATTGAGTAGATCATAGAATTCAAGGGGATTTCCATTCAAGTAATGAAGTAGCAGTTGGCTTTTCAGCTTCAAATTCTTTCCCTTGTTAAAGTGAAACATCGTCTCGAGTAGGGTCCTGCTACCTAAATCCTGCTGAATGACTTTTCAATAGAAGTGACTGAACAAAAAAGAAACATTTTTAAAAATAAATTTTTAGAGGAATTTGTTCCACTCTGTCTTGTGTTTCACTCTAAACAATTTTTTTTTTTTGTAGCAAAAATTATTCTCCGTGCCATAAATGTGTGGTGAGTTCCTCTCATCCATATTTCCACACAGACCACGGGTCTTTGCCAATTTTTTTGTGTGTATAGAGCCCCCATGGATGATGGCTCAGAACTGAAACCCTATCCGATGCTACTAAAAGTCTTGGGTTGAGAAGGGTCTTAAAATCACCTTTGGTGGTTTAGGCGGAAATTAACACAGGGCCCCTGGTTTCTCTTCTTTACTAGGATTGTTGATGATGCAAGAAAAAACCTTCTTTATATCTGGACTGAAAGTTTTTGAGGGCAGAGATCAGGTCTGTTTTCCACTTAAGTTTCTTTTTTTTTAAATTTTTGACTTTTAGAGTAATTAGTTTATTTATTTTTGGCTGGACTGGGTCTTTGCTGTAGCTCATGGGCTCTCTCTAGCTGTGGCTCTTGGGCTTAGTTGCCCTGCAGGCATGTGGGATCTTAATTCCCCCACCAGGGATCAAACCCATGAAACCTGCAGTGGAAGCATGAGTCTTAACCACTCGACCACCAGGGAAATCCCCAGAAACACTGTCTCAGTGACCCCATGTTTGGTAGACTGCAGCTCTCATAGTAGAGTTAGTGATTCAAGTATTAACAATGACCAGTGTTGGTTGGTTGGTTGTTTTTTTCATTCTTCTTTGACTTTTAAAAGGACTCTCAAACCTTCTGAGGATAAGAAATGTGAAGCATGGGAATTACCATTTGCACCCTTTATAGCTCAATTCATAGTCAAATACCCTCCTCCCGACCCCCAGCCCAGTCCTCGAAGGGAGTGGGAAACACATCTTTCTTTCACTTCAGACTTCCTTCCAGGATGCTTCGTCATCCTGTCACGCTTTCCAAGCCTCAGTGCTTTTGCCTATCCCATTCAGTTCCCCTGACAAGGAAGGCCCTTTGAATATTTTTTTCCCACTGTTTAAGACTCAACTTGAGTCTCATTTTCTCTGTAAAATGTTCCTTGGCATCTCTGGCCCACACTGTCCTATTACTCTGGCCTTCCATTATATTCTACCACACTGAAAAAAATAATCATTCCTTGTATTTTTTTTTTCTCTTTTGCCAGTGTTGTGTTCACAGATACACATAAGTGCTTTATGCATATTTATTGCTGAAGGCATGTCAGCAAATGGCTAGAAGGAAGAGAAAAATTCTGGTTGATTGATGAAAAGATGGTTTTCTTAAAACTCTTTGGGAGCAAGAAATCAGTCATATGGTTTCTTTATTCTCACTAGTTGGGCAACCTTGAGCAACTTACCTAAGTTCTCAAAGTCTCAGTCTGTCAGTATGCCAACTGAAAAAATGCAAAACTTTAGAGTTTCAAGTTAAGTTTTATGTGGGGCAAAATAAGGACTATAGCCTGGGAGATAGCACCTCATATAGCTCTGAGAAACTGCTCCAAAGAGGTAAGAGTCAAGGTCAGTATATATGTGATTTTGGTGAAGGGAGAGTTCATGCAATCAAAAACATATTTTTGGCAAAAGCCACAAGGAACAGTTGCCACCATGAAGGATTTTAGTGCTTTTCTAGATATGAGGAAATACAAGAATTGGGCTCATAAAATCAGTTCCTGAAAATATCTAACTATATGAAGACCTGTTCTGCTGGTTTTCCCAGAGCACAGAGAGTGCCTCATTTCTACTCTCCACCCTAAACCCCTTTCAGGGGGTGTTGAAAATCAACAGCTGCAACAGCACGTGATTTAATCCTTATGGAGGTAGGTGGCATGCACCAGTGGCAAGTATTGACAAGCACATAAAACATGCAATAACACCCACTTGATCCGTTTTTTTCAGAAGTATCAGAAATAAGATAGGAAGAGTGGCCAGCTTAGTAAGTAAGCTGCCATCGCTACTATTATTGTTGTTGTTAATTTCCACAGTACCTGGTACAGTGAAGGGTAAATTGAACGCCTGTTTAATCCTGAACATTGAGGTTGTGTCCTGTTAATGTCCTTTTTTGGCTTTGACCATTTCTGTATGATTAATTCAGGGGGTAAGAAATTAATGGAACGGAAACAAGAAGACTCAGTAAAAGGGCCATATCTGAGCACGGGCAACCCAAGACGAGCAGAAGTGAAAATGTTCACACTGCATTTCCTGGATCGGTATGCAGTGTTGCACCATACCTTAGCTCGGACTACGTGAGGAGTGTGATAAACCAGGACTCTGAATAGTGCCTTTCATGAGGCGACTCAGATAAAAATCTTACCATTCAATTTTTTATTTACAACTTCGAAATTCTAGATTGGTTGACATTGGCTCAAACCTTGAAACCAACTGATGGGAAGGAAAATCTGCTATTGATTTACTGGCTTTCTCTCTCTCTCTTTCCTCTAAGCACAGACTAAAATTCTCTCCAAAACAAGTATTGGGGGCCTTACCATCCTCGGGAACTGATGGGGGAGGTGTGCGAGGGGAGGCATTTACATCTCATCGCTGGCTCCTAGGGCTGGAGCCCCTCTTTAAACATCCACTTTCTGGCACACCAGGCTTCTTCCCCATCCCCAGGGAAGCCCTTGCCCAGCGGAGGGTCCTATAAACAGGACTCAGCAAAACTGGATTCTGTTCTGGCTGGGCTCTCTCCATAATGCCTCCCACCGTGTATACACATCTCAGCAGACGCCTTCCCTGGACAGTCTCCTGCCTTCTGCGATCCCTTCCCAGATGGGAGGGTCTAGAGGTGGAATTGTCCAATCAAGTAGGTAAAGTCACAAGAAGAAAGAAAAGCTTTAATCTAGCCATCTAGGAAGCCTCACATGCCGTGTTAGGGCTAAGCCTAACACAGGACATGACAAAGAGATGATGGTAGGTTTTAAGTTAATTTCTACTGGAGTACAGTTGATTTACACTCTTTCACAGCAAGGTGACAGTCATACATACACATATACCCGCTCTTCTTTAGATTCGTTCCCCATGGAGATCATTACCGGGTCCTGAGTGGAGTTCTCCGTGCTGTACAGAGAGTTCTCATTGGTCATCTGTTTCATACATAGTAGTGGGGCTTCCCAGGGGGCTCAGTGGTAAAGAATCTGCAGGCCAGTGCAGGAGACACGGGTTCAATCCCTGGATCAGGAAGATTCCCTGGAGTAGGAAATGGCAACCCACTCCGGTATTCTTGCCTGGAAAACTCCATGGGCAGAAGAGCCTGGCCAGCTACAGTCCATGGGGTCTCAGAGAGTCGGACACGACTAAGTGAGCACACACCAAGTGTATACGTCAATCCCCGTCTCCCAGTGTATTCCTGCCTGCCTCGTTCCCTTTTGGTAACCATGTTTGTTTTCCACATTTGTGAGGAATGATGGTAATTAAATGAATGCCAAATCCCGCACTAGGTACTGATGTATTCTCATTGATTTTTCATAGCGATCCTGGGTAGTGGAATTTTTATTTTGAATTAACTAGGCTTGGACAGCCTAAGCGACTCATGCAGTCTCATAAGGCCGATGAGTAATGGGGCCAAGTAAAACATTTCCCCTAGAGCTTCACCATCCCTCATAGGAAGGTGTTTCTGGGGCTCCCTGGTCTCACTGGGGGCTTACAGATCACAGTGGAAGATTATGCTCAAAGAAGCTGATGACGAAACAATGGCCTGGAAGGTAGAGCCCTGTGTCCTGCTTCTGTATTGCTGGTCCTTTAAAAAATACCTGGCATCAATCCCACTGCATCTTATTTGATAAGTCACTGCAGGACCAACAAGACTGAAAGGAAGAGTCATGTTCTCCCCTTCTCAAAAGGGAAAGTGACAATGATTTTGTGTGGTTATATCTCATCCACACCAGGTCTCCAGAACTATAGAGAGCTGAGGTTCCCTTGTACTTCAGCTTCCTGTCATGCTTTGTGCTTTTGAAAACACTTGCAAATATTTTCTCATTGCACTCTCTTTTCTAAACACAGCGGCCAGAGAGATTCTTTTCAAACTTAAGTCAGATTATGTCGCTCCTCTGTTCCCAGCCCTCCAGTGACTCCCATCTCGCTCAGAGTCCAAGTTAAAAGTCTCCCAAGGCCCTGCCCTGTCTGGTCCCACTCCCCTGGAAACTCAGAGTGACCACTCATCCCAGTCACTCTGCTTCAGCCATGCTGGCCTCACCATCTTTGAACGCCATCTTTACCCCTTGCTCCAGGGCCTTTGTACCTGCTGTTCTACTACCTGTAATGTTTTTCCCCCAAATGTTCTCTGGGCTCACTTCCTTACCTCCTCTGGGTCCCAGTCCTAGTTGCAGCCTCTTAGAGATGCCCTCCCGATCACTGCCTGGAACTTCCCACCTCCCTCTTCTGCTTTACCTTTCTTCAAAGCGCTTAGCACCACTAGAAATTCTGTATGTTTGGCTTGTTCCCTTATTTCTATGTTTTCCCCACTGGAGCTGCAGGAGGAGAGAGATTATTGTTCACCTTTTTCATGATTAAGGGCTTCCCTGGTAGCTCAGCTGGTAAAGAATCTGCCTGCAGTGCAGGAGACCCCACTTGAATTCCTGGGTCTGGAAGATCTCCTGGAGAAGAGATAGGCTACCTGCTCCAGTATTCTTGGGCTCCCCTGGTGGCTCAGATGGTAAAGAATCCGCCTGAAATGTAGGAGACCAGGGTTTGATCCCTGGGTTGGGAAGATCCCCTGGAGGAAGGCATGGCAACCCACTCCAGTATTCTTGCCTGGAGAATCCCTATGGACAGAGGAGCCTGGTGGGCTGCAGTCTATGGGGTCGCAAAGAGTTGGACATGACTGAATGACTAAGCATAGCAATTTTCATGATTGCATCTTCCTCTCCCCAGGGACCACAAAGGTGCCTGGCCCCCTGGCCATTAGTGATGATATATAAGGATTTAGAATGAAATATTGGGTAAAAGCATGAATTCTCCTAGCAATGATATTTATTGGTCAGGGTAATTACTGTGTTCTCAGCTTTGCAGGTGAAGACACAGAAGCCCAGGAGGTTCTGTGACTGGTCTGAAGTCACGCATAGTGGCATGGTCAGCTTTAGGACCCAGCTATTATAACCTGCATCCTCGGCTCTTTGCGGCCACAATGTATGAGTTCTCATATGGCTATTTTCATGCAGAGATGTGAGTGGCTCTGATGCGGGTTCAGGACAGGCCCAATCCACAGACATAAAGGCTTTCACCGCGCTAAGAGGGTACCACACAGCCGTCATTTCCTGGACAGAGAAATAGGCCTCTCTGCCAGCTGCGTTCAGAGCAGTAGTAATTATGAAAGTCTAGAGGGAAGTGAGCAAAAGCATCAGGGACATTTAACAACCTTCACTGACCTGCAAATTATTATTTACAGTAACACAGAGAATTTCCTCTGTGGAGGCAGCGACATAGAACATATGATACATGTGTTTCAGTTGTTTGTTTTTTTACAAAATAAACCTGGATCCCCATAGCATTCTCAGGAATCAGACAGAGAACAGAGAGAGTGACTGGGCAGGTCAGAAGGGATTTATTCTTAGGAGACAAAAGGAATGAACGTTCGCTGTTTTTATTAAATTCCTCCCAGAAACTTTATGAAGATGATGTTTGAAAATCTGAGGATCGCACTGCAAACTCTTGGGAGGCTGAGGCGGGTCTGATTCATCTGCCACCTCCTGCTGATTGAGTGCCTTTCTTGGAAATGGCAAATCTGGAGAAACCTGTTGAGATTGACTAACAGGGCTTGGGGGCGAGGGGCAAGGGGCTTTAATGCTGGTCTCTTTCTACCTTGTCCCCAGGGTATAGACCATCTGGCCTGCAGCTGCCTGAGCTGTAACACTTCTGCTGACGGGGAGCTCATTACCTACCACAGCAACTCTTTTTTCTTACTAGATAGCCTATGTTGAGCCACTCTCTGCCTCCTGTATGTCCCCCTTTCAGTTTTAGTTCCATGCTTCTGAGTGACAGAGAATTAATCTACCATGTTAGTATCAGATAAGTGCTCTACACACAACCGGCAAGTTCTTATAGGCTCACTGACTCTAAAAGGCAGAACTTGGCAACTAGCAGTTCTTGAATACAGGAGTTCCTTGACAATCAACCCAGGGTGTATGTGTGTGTGTGTGTGTGTGTGTGTGTGTGCATGCTAAGTCACTTCAGTTGTATCCAACTCTTTGCGACACTATGGACTGTAGCCTACCAGGCTCCTCTGTCTATGAGATTCTCCAGGCAAGAAAACTGGAGTGAGTTACCATGGCCTCCTCCAAGGGATCTTCCCGACTCAGAGATTGAACTGGTGTCTTTTACACCTCCTGCACTGGTAGACGAGTTCTTTACCACTAGCCCCACTTGGGAAGCCCCCTGTGTGTGCAGGACAGCCTATTTATTCCCAGGATCCCTGTGATGCTAGCCCCACAGGGCCCAGGGAGGACAGGGTCTGTCTCATGCACTGCCGAGTCCCTGCTCCTGGTTGGTCCCTGGCCTGTCAGAGGGGCTCCTTAATTTTAAAGAATGAGGAAGTGCTCAGCTGAAGACAGCACTCACAGTGTCTGGCTGGCGGGCCTCAGCATGGGACTGTCCTTACTGCTATTGTCATTTGGGATGATGACTGGCTTGACTAGGGGAGACCAGTGGAAGAAAAGGAGAGTGCTCTGGATCTTGGATGGAAGGATTGAGGAAGACCGAGCCAGAGGGCATTTCCAGTGTCACTGAGGGTGGAAGGCATGATGCGGAAGCAAGAAGGAGCAAGCTGTGTCTGGGGAAGCAAGGAGACAGGAGGGTTGGGGAGGCGCTGGAGGAGGGGAGCATTGGTCCTTCCAAACCTCCCTCCGCTAGTTTTCCTGAAAGTCTTCAGAAGACGTCATCCATGCGCTTGTGTGTGCAGCGGTCCCTTCCCTCGTGGCACTTGTCAGTTCCTTTCTCTGATGAGGGGGAGCGGGCGGCTGGGTCCCCCAGCTGCTGTCAGCGTGCTCTGGGGTGAGAGCGACCCCAGTCCTGTCCTCTGCTCCTACCTGCAGAAGCCTGTGCTTTCTGTCCTGCATCTTAACGGGTGCTGGTCTGGCTCACAGCTCCGTGCTGCAGAACAAGACCCAGTGGGGGACAAGGAGAGAATCACACTCATACGAATAGACCTTGAAGCACGTCCACTCTCCTTGCTTTTCCTGTGCCACCAGACACGAAGCCAGACACTTCTGTGGATTCTACATTTTAATCCTCAAAATTACTCTGGAAGCGAATAGAGTTATTATTCCCATTTTACAGGCAGGGACCACAACAGCAGTGGCTCAGGGAGACGAGGTAGCTGGCTTGAGTCCTCGCAGCTGGTAAAGAGTGGCTATGACTTTAAACCCGGGTCATGTGGTTCCAGGGTCCACAGCCTTGACCTTCGGGGAATGTGGCTCCCACTTGGTTTGCACACCAGCTCCCGTGAGATGGAGATGCCTTAACTAACTCAGAGATGGCCAGTGCCCTCTGCAGTCTATCAGCTGGAACTCTAGATGCTACCCCATATCATGCCTGGCAGCTTGTAGAAGCTCAACAAAGAGGAAATGAATGAAGGAATAAATGCGTAAGCAGAATCTAATGCTCATCTGATGCTCTCACTCCTAACTGATGGACCTGAGGTTGCCATATGTTTCCTCCACCTTCAAAGTCAGAGCAATAGTATTGCCTAGAAACGGTTTCTTATAGAAAGTAGACTGAGGGGCTTCCCTGGTGGTCCAGAGGTTAAGACTCCACACTTGCAACGCAAGGGGGTGGGTTTGATTCCTGGTCAGAGAACTAAGGGGTTTCTCAGGTGGCACAATGATAAAGAATCCATTTGCCAATTCAGAAGGCTAAAGAACTACAAGTTCAATCCCTGGTTTGGGAAGATGCCCTGGAGGAGGAAATGGCAACCCACTCTAGTATTCTTGCCTGAAATAACCCCATGGACAGAGAGCCTGGGGGGCTACAGTTCATGGGTCACAAAGAGTCAGACACAACTAAGCCCTCACGCATCGTCACGCAGGAAACTAAGATCTCATGTGCTGCACGGTGTGGCCAAATAAATAAAAACACAATAAAAATAAATAAACAGGGACCTCCCTGGCAGTCCGGTGGTTAAGACTTTGCCTTCCAATGTGGGGGGTGGAGGTTTGATCCCTGGTCAGGGAGCTAACATCCCACACGCCTCATGGCCAAACACATAAAACAGAAACAATATTGTAACAAATTCAATAGAAACTTTAAAAAATGGTCCACACCAAAAATCTTGATAAATAAATAAATAGTCCATCCATTTAAAAAAAAATTCATTAAAAAAAAGGCTGAGATTCTAGTGTCCATGACACAGAACTCCCATCTTGCCAGGCCTCAAGAACAACCATGCAATCTGAGTGTGGTTTTGCCCCTACCTGCTCACCAGGGCCTGCAGAGCCCACCCAATTGCTATGGGGATCCTGGGAGGACGTGTCACGTGTGCCAGGGGCGATCAGCACGTGGCATCCTCCAGCTCCCTCCTCTCCCACTCGAGGCCCTCCTGATGAAGCACCCACTGTGCCGTGGCCTCTGAAGCCACCTCCCCTGGCTGCCTGCAACCCCACGGTAGTATCGCCGTCCACGTTCGGGGCCATCTTCTCAGAAGTGGCTGATGCTAAAGGTGCTAGAGCCCTGCTGCGTTCTCTTTGAATGGGGAAGGGCTGCTCCCTCACTCTGCATCACACACTCAGTCACCCAGGGCTTGGGCAGGTGATGATCAGAGTGCCCATAACCCACCAAGTCCTTCAACAACCCTCTCCCCCAGCCCTTGGCCCTGCACATTTGGACTGGCAGGTATGAGTGTGAGTGTGTGTGTGTGTGTGAGAGAGAGAGACTCCACGTTGTCCCCCTCCCCCAGCCCCAGCTTCCCACACTCCAGCCAGCCTGCTCCCCGGTCTCCTTCCCTCACGATGCTAATCAACCCATGAATATAGATGTTTGCTGCTCTTGGTTCTTCACCCTCCTCCCCACTCATCTGACAAATCCAGCCACATATGGATTCATTTTAAAGATTATCTGGGATGCGCCCCACCCCATGCACTAGCTGCAGACCTAGCAGATCAGTTCCTCGGCCCAGACATCAGGTGAGCCATCTCGGGGGAGAAGGGGGACACTGAGCTTTATCAACAGGTCTGGCATGTCCAGATTTAAGGCCTGGATTTACTGTGAAGCTGATGAGGCTTAAGTTTCAGGACCTCCCTCCCCTGCTTGCATGCAAGAGGCCCTGGTGCTCATAAGTCTTTGTAAAATTGGCAAACGCAAGCTATTTTAAGGTAGTCAAGACTTCTGTCTTCCGCACCTTCCCTCCAATACCCCCCTTCCTGTTAGGTGACATTAGAGTGGCTGTGGGCACTTCGGTGATCTGGATAAAGGGCAGCTGAGGTGGGGATACATAAGTTCAGGTTTCTTGGGGTATGTTAGTATGCATTGTCATCATACTCATGCACGATTAAGTTATTGCAAACCCTCCTGGTGTAGGAGCGGCAGGAATAATCCTACTACCTGGTGGGTGGCCTCGATCTCCATCCTGGCCTAAAGGCACAGGGTCAAAATCAAAATCATCTGATTTTGACTGTGTCCTAAGGCACCTGACCCTGGGAGGGTGAGATTGTGGAGGAGAAGCCAAGTATAAAGGTGTGGAGCCAGAAACCAATCTCTGGAAAGTTCTTCCCAACATCACATGTCTAAAACTGTAAGTGAAAGACTTAGACATCTCATCTCTGGAGGATCATTCCAGACAGGGATGGGAGGGGAGAGAGCAATGCCAGATGCACACTAGCCCAGATCCATCTAGATGCATACGAGCATCAGCCTCCTGTGTGTTTGGTTATCAAACACTTGCCTGTAAGAAATTTCATCTTTCATCTCCGGGTCTGTGCAGGCTAACTCTAACTGCTGCGGCTACAAGGGTGAGGACCAGTGTGTGGACTGCGGGAGCTTCATCTAGCTACTGCTTCCCTGGGAGCCGGCCAGCCTGCCCCTAATGACACCCTCCCTTCTCACCAAACTTCCTCTTCGGGGTAACAGATTTCAGAACATTTTGCAAAGAAGTTAGTGCCACCACTGGCCTTTGGAATATACCGCTCAGCCAAGGCAAACAGGCTTTTCCTTTCCTTTTTTTTCCTGTAACCAAATTTGGTAGTCTGGCTTATCACTCCCCCCTGCCCTCTGGCAGCTGCAGCGTGTGCTGTGGGTTTGCTATAGAGCGCTGGCTCTTGGGGGCTGATGATTTGTCGCTTGGGTCTATGTGGCAATAGAGGTGGATTCCAAGAAACACATGTTTAAGAAATTCAGGAAGGAGCAAGGAAGTGGATATGATCATTGGCTAATTGGTCTGTTAGGCCAAAAATGCCCTTCGGTGCTCACCACAGCACCGTCGCCAGTTCTTAAGTAGCGGGTGACCTCCCTTGAGGTCGTTGTGTGAATGACTGTGATAAATGGTTGGTTTGGGAAGGTTAGGGATTTTTCTCCTTTTGTTTGCTCTTTTTTTTTTTTCTTCTTCCTTTTGGTTGTTTGAGATCTTATTGAAAATCACAAACCAGAGAGCAAACAGCTGCCAAGGTCAGTGGTGAACATTTTGAGAATCAGGTTACGGTGGCCTGTGGCTCTCTGCTCAACTTGAGTTCCCATTGCTTGGGTGATCAGTCAGAACATTCTCCTTAAAATACCCACTTACCCTTGGTTTACCAGTAAGCAAGGGGTGAAAACAGGTGGAAGGGTCAGGCTCGACAATGTGGCAGGATCTCTTTATAAGTATGGTCTCCTCTACCCTCCCCACCTCCACCCAAACAACAATGTGTCTCTAGGGGGCGGCCTCTGAATCAGATGCCTTGGAACAAAACAAATCCTAGAGGCTAAGTAAATGGTTTAGGGGGGAAATTGAACAATTTTGTAGGCAGGCTCTCGGTGTACCTCCAACAAGGGGTTCTGTGGCTGTTTGGTGTGAAGGCGCTGGATCAGCATAAAAGCATTTATGGCAGAGCATGCTGGCACTAGTGAGGTTCCCCCCTTTCGTCAAATGAAGAACGGGTAGTGAAAAAGCCTGAACCCAAAGTCAAGAGTCATGCTTTCTATGTCTTGCTCCACTCCTTGCTAAACTGAAGAAACCCAGGCAAAACAGTTTCTTTCTCTGGGCCTCCCTTTCTCATCACGAGGTGATTGGGTCAATTCTTTGATGACAGGCTTTCCTTCTGTGTTTACCCAAACTCAAATCAAATATTCTTGCCACCACAAATGCTTTCAGCATTACCCTGGGGTGAGTCATAGAAAGCAAATTTCACACTGTGATCAAACACATCACATTTTCCAACATGGCATATTCTGTAGCAGCTATGTTATTAATTTCTACTAAGTTGTGGCTCCAGTACACCCAAACCAAAAAGGAAAAAGCAAGAGTTGCAGAATGGATTTTAAAAAATGACTTCTACTCTAAATTGTATCACAAATAATGGCTAAAAATATATTGTGCAAAGAGGGGCTACTGTGTTAGCTTTGGAGATTAACTTAGGATCATTTGTATGTAGCACCTTTTTAATTTTTTTTAATTCAATTTTTATTTTTTTAATACTAGAAAACATTTTGTATTGGTGTATAGCCAATTAACAATGTTGTGATAAGTTTCAGGTGGACAGTGAAGGGACTCAGTCATACATATACATGTATCCATTCTCCCTCAAACCCTTCTCCCATCCAGGCTGACACATAACATTGAGCAGAGTTCCCATAAGCACCTTTTTTATTTTAATGCAAGCATTCTTTTAATGCAATTAAAACAATGCCTTCATAAGAATGTTAAAATTTTCCTAAATGTCATTTACACTAACTGACTTTGGTTTACCTATCTGCACCTCCAAGGTGCATAAATTCTAAACTAGTGAGGTCTGAATTAATGAAATATTATCAAGGTTTACTTTTGGAATGTGTTGAATCAATTAACTAACTCTTGGAACATCATAAAAGAGGGAAATAAATCTGATATGATGTAGGAGACTACATCTGAAGCAGAGATCCCTTTATCTAGCAAATGCTGGGATATACAGAGTTAAATTTAAAACAAAATGAGATTTCCTGAGGTCTTGAATGCTAATATGTACTGCATTAGCCTTGAGATGGGTAGTGTCCTTCATAACAAAATAGAATCCTTGCCAAATCTGGTATCTTAAAACAGTAATGTAGACTCCAGCTTTCTGATTAAATTCTTTGGATATTAAAATTTGGTTTGACCTAGATTTGAAGTGACTAGATATTTTTTTTTCCCCTGTAAATTTCAGGGAATTCCATGTCAAGGCAGAAGGGCTGAATCTAAATCTCTCTTCTAAAGATACTCATAAAAATATACCCAGCATTAAAAGTTTCCACCCGAGGCAACGAACAAAACAAGTTGGATTCAAGCGGCAGCAACAACAGTAAAAAAAAAAAAAAACAATTAGGAAATTCTGTAATTAGACCTCAACATGGAAATATGTTCTACATAATTTAAGTGACTGCGGTTAAAAAAAGAACAGAAATGGCAAAGCTGTTCCATTTTTGCAAGAGCTAGTTTTCAGTTACTTTCCCTGCACTCACCAGCATCATAAAATGTTAGTGCTGGAAAGGTCACTAATGACCATCTTTTCCAACCCCTCTTATAGAGAAAGAGAGGCAATGGAATTGAAATTGACCAGTGTCAGGAATCAATTAGTGATGGAATGCCAACTAGAACCCAGCTCATTCTGAGCTAGCACATGGCATGGCAGTGTGTCTAACAGGCACTTACTAAATGTTTGTGGGATTGAATGAAGTCACCCTTCAAGTTTTCACTGGAAACCAAATCAATCAAAAATCACCCATTTTTTTCTCATAGGTGTCTGTTCTCCAAGACATGTTCTGCAGGTCTGATTTCCTGGATTCAAGGAAAGATTTATGGAGAAGGGAGTTAAGTTGGGGCCATTGAAGGAAGAAGTTTTTCTCTACACTGAAGTTTGGGCCAGGAGAGGAGAGAAGAAGATAAAGAGGAAAAGGTTATGCAAATGCAGTGATTTTTGCATCTTTTTTTTAAAAATAGGATTGGTAGTTTGGTCTGCATTCTCATATTTCTGAGGGAGTTAAAAGGTATCCTGGTATAGAACAAAGTGTGTGTGTGTGTGTGTGTGTGTGTGTGTGTGTGTGTTAGTTGCTCAGCTGTATTTGACTCTTTGCAACCTCATGAACTGTAGCCCACCAGGCTCCTCTGTCCACGGGATTTCCCAGGCAAGAACACTGGAGTGGGTAGTTATTCCCTTCTCCAGGGGATCCTCCCAACCCAGGGATCAAACCCAGGTCCCCTGCCTTGCAGGTGGGTTCTTTACCATATGAACCACCAAGGAAGCCCCAAAGAACAAAGTAGGTACTTATTAACTGTTGAATGAATAAACATATGTTTTACTTGAAATCCCTCTGCTTTCTGGTTGCTGCTACCAATTCCTCTTTTCTAAAGGAGGAGACTGAGGCTCAGAGAACATCATGGTTGGCCAAAAGTGTTAAATAACTTCTTTGAATATTTTATACTTTTCCTCTTGGCTCTCAGTGAAAGAGTTCCAGTCTTCTCATCAACTTCGTGTTCTATTACGAATTTTTTTATGTGGGCATAAAGGCAAAATATAGGCCTCTAATGGATGGCTGAAACCGCAGTG